TTCTGTCAATCCATCGTCAAAGTATTTTTTGAACTGATGATAGGTAGTTGGGCATTTATGCGGCTTGGTAAAACACAGCCCGAACAATTTTAACAGATCTGCAGCGCACGTTTTAGTAATGTGATGTCGCAGAATAATAGTAGCAAAAATAATAACAAACGCTCGTACAGTCATCGTAGATCCAGAGAATAGTTTTTCTTCATTGTTGGATCGCTGATGGTAACTGTTTTGCCTGACATCTTCATTACTTGAATCGCTGCTACTTTCGCTAAAATCGTCATCTTCTACATCACTTCCATAATTATCTATACGAAAAAAATGTATAAGTAAATATGAGTGCCAAAAATATGAGGAATAAGTTTTCAAATAAATGTACTTTCAATATTGAAAGTAATAGAGAGTAATATCGAAAGCTCGTTTGCTCAGTCGATATCACGTTCGAAAATGGATATCTTTGATATAACTCAACTTTATTTCCTATCCATGGACATTTCTTTAGTTATCCTACTTTGGGCTTTTTTTAAATAAATAAAAATAAAACTCCTGACATTTGAAAAATGTACCAGAGTAAGTGAATGAATCACATGGGATTTAATTTTTTTTCGTGAATGATGAAAGCGAATGATAAGCGCGCGCCATGAACTTATAATTGGGCATATTGAAACGGGTGCCATCGCTTACAACAACGAAGCTCGCATTTAAATTCTCTCGACTATACTCGATATGACAAAGGTTATATGCACGTAGGTGTTCCGTGTGCATGTGCAATGTGTATGCGCCAGCAGCAGCAGTAGCAGCTATAGCGCACTCAGCGTGGTGGCGACGGCGACAACAAAAAAAAGCTCTCAGCTAACCGCGAATGCCGCGATGTGCGTGCGCAGTGCGCGCTCTTCGAAAGTAATGCTAATGCTGCCAATTTTCTTACATTCAAAATGTATACCGTACGTACCTGTTGCCTTCATATCACACTTTGAAATATATTTCGTTTCGATAAAAGAAGGTTGTAACAATATTTGTAAATTTAAAAGTTGTTGTACCGTAATCAAATTTTGGCCAACTCATTGGATCGGTATTTGCATCGACAGCCATGTCGGAGCAATCAAATAGCTCATTGAAATCATCATTTTCGACTCGAACGTCATAGCGATTGTCCAACTAAATGAATGTTTAATTTATCATCTTCATATTTATTCTTTCGTAAAGCTAATGTATTTAGACATCATACTTACATTAATGGATGTAGTCATGCAATCTGCAGTTTCATTTAAATCACTTTTCATAAACTTTTCTAAGCGATATTGGACCAGTGTAGAATACTCTGCGAAATGATTCTTGATTTTTGGCATTTTTATTAATATTTTTATTAACAAAATTAAGTATATGGAACTACGTCATTTCAGGGTAATCAAGAGGTTAATGTATTGGAATTCGTTTTTTGTCACGGCTGCACCGTTTTGTTATTGTTATTGTTTTTTTCTAAAGTTAACTGAGGTTAGTTGGTTAAATAACGCTAGAGATAAAAAGGGAAAAAAGCTCTGAACTATAGTTATTTTCTTGCGGAAAAATGTTCGCGCTAATACTATGGACCGGTTATAATACCACGAGCACGATCGATATCAATCAATTAGTACCTGATAAAGAAGAAGGGGAAGAAACTATGGCCAGATACAGCGATGGAAAATTGTATCAAGTAAAAATTATTCGCAAAAATGGTAAAATAAACTAAAATAAATACGTATTTTTCAACAACTTTATTTCAAGCTTTTATCAATTTCAATTTTTTTTCTAAATTATGCAATGTAAATTCTAAAAACAATAATATTCTCAATGTAGTTGATGAACACTATCTAAGATCTCTAGCTGTGAGCACTGATGGAGAACTAATTCCAAGAAAAGGCAACTCCCAAAAAAAGATAGCTTTATGTGAACAAAAATACTTGAAGCAGAAATTGATTCTTGAGAAAAATAAATTGGAAGGAAAAAAACAAGCTACTAATTATCATTATTAGACTCTAAAAGTGTTTTTCAAGATTCTGATAGCGAAAAAGAAGAGATTCCCCCGGTAAAAATGGAAAAAACTTATCATTCTTTATTATTTATTGTAAATATATTATATATCCTAGGACGTGGATTTTGATGAAAATGTACCAAGTGCAGTCGTGAAATCAGCCTGCGACGGCAAAAATCAGCGCCCAAAACGATTTGTAGTGAAAAAGAGACGCGATAGCATATATGAGTGGGGCGGAACATCGACTCGAGTATCAATTAACAATCGAAATACTTATTACATCCTTTTTATTCAATTAATTTAAATGTAACCCCTAATATTATCTATTATAAACAGAACGTGAGAATTACTAGTGAGCAGTCAATTGCTAAGAAAACTAATAGTGCATTCTTTGAAAAAAACCAAGAAGGGTCGACGCAAACGATCGCAACTGGCTTTAAAGAGAAAGACATAGCCTCAAATATTACTAACAAAACAGTACAGGTATTGTGTATTTGTTATGAATAATTATTTCGGTTTTACGATTTTTTCGTTATTCAATGATTGTTTCATGACAGAGATCGTTTCTTTAGCTCTCCTTAACAGTATTATTATTTTGAAATGTAATAAAATTAACAATTTGCGAAAAAAACATCTCAATCGCACGCTGCATTATCATAAATCAGATCACCGATTAGAGATCGAATCATTCCGCGACTCACCAATGATTGTGAGAAACAAACGCTTTTTGTTCGCAAGCGTTGACCCGATAAATACACGATGTTACAATGCATTACATCATCAACGGCAGCAGTATCATAATATGTAATAGGTTAAAAAGAAAACGGAACGCAAAGTTAAGGCATCAGAGAGGGATTTTGGTCGTGATTTTTTTAATAACAATTGTCGCCGCGCCGCGCGAGCTTTTCTTCACCGCCGCGTGAGCTTCTCTGCGCTGTTGTAAATAACACAGCTTATACACAGATCGAGCGCTGCTGTCTACATGTGCTTGCGTTTATTTTCAATTTACTTTAAAAAGGTTCATGAACAAGCAGAATTGGATGACGAACGCGACGGCGAATCATCAAAAAGAAAGCATGCAGAATTGGATGGCGAACGAGATCAAAACGACAACAGTGAAAGTGATGATTCCATTGTTGAGAGGAGCCCCTTGAAACATGTTCGAGGTCGAAATGCACGGGAAACGAGGCGAATTTCTACATCGGACAAAGTTGTGTTTTTAATTTGAATATTTTATACGTTATATAACGCATGACGCTAAAATTTATATATTATTAGTCTGGGATGACGGGGATAAGGAAGATGATCCGCTTGCTAATAGCAGATTATATAAACCTGGAAAAGTTTTGATATATGAAGATTTTCCCGAAGTATGGATAAATAAAACCGATTTAACGTGTTTATTGAGATGGAAAAATAAGCCGAAAGAAATGGTGCGTCGATTGCTTAGATTGCTGGTTGGCGAAAAAAATTTAAAAAATATGTGTGCCAGGGGAAGGACTTCCAAAAAAAAGCGATCCCAGAGAACATCACTGCCTGTATTGAGTGTAAGATCATAAAAACAATTTTTAATATTTATAAAATTCATACAATTGCGGACAAATCATGTAAATATAAAATACTTTTATTACAGACTATGTCAACAAAAAATGTCCAGAAGGACTTACTCCAGCGCAGTTTACTACTGTCGCCAACTACCTGATTGGTTCAATACGTCATCCCAAAAAATGAAGCTTGGCTCATGTTTTTATTTATACTTTATTTACCTTTAAAATGCATTCTTAATTTATAGCGTTCTTATGTTTATAATTTTGCATTGTTTTAATGATTATACTTTGAAATAAAATTACAATGCTATTATCTTTGTGTGTATTTAATTTGTAAAAAAAGCGAATGAAAAAAATAATAAAAATTACCAAAATATTGCCGATATATTGGAGAAATTTATAACAACATAACTGTTGCCAATATGTTGCCAATAGTTGCTAAATTCTGGCTCATCTAGTAACTATTGGCAATATTTTGCTAATAGACCACAAGGTAAATATTGGCAATAGCCATGCAATATATATGGGGAATATATTGGCAATATATCTCTAATACTTTTTGCCAATATTTCCGCAATATATTGCCAATAGTTTCGATTTTTACGCGGGATGTTGCATGACTACAATACTATCCAAAATGTTCAAATAGACAGATTATGTTAATGCTATTAATTACAAATTAATATATTTTACGTACCTCAAAGATTCTCTTACTCAACAATAAATGTATGATCTGCTTATTTTGTTTTATCAACAATAACAATATATAAACACGGAAATGCAAGTATATCAATACTTAATACATAAGTTATTGACGATTGATCATAGGTATATAAAGAGCATAAACAAAATATATACAGCCGACGTTTATAGAGACGGAGACTAATCGTGAGGTCCGTTCCATGTTCTAATTGCTATCTGACTAGATTCCTTTGTCAATTGTCGAACTTATCAGAAACGATCATATTATCTCAGTATATTTATTATTGATTGCAAAATATTAAATTAAATTGAAACAAATACTTTTAGACTCAAAAACAAACATGATGATAAATGCATGCCAAGTGTATTTAACAAATTAAGGTCTCTGACCGTCACTCACAATGAAATGGACGAAATCAAATTACCGAACGGACCGCACCGAAGAGTTTGTATTTTCTGTTTGTGACATACTTCAAGTCGTACTTTGTAGTTTATGAGAAGTCTGTCATATCATATAATATATAGATAGATATAGATATATATATTTTTATATATAGTTTTTAACTTTTGATTAAAATTAAAATTAAATACGGTAGACAAGTGAAATAAGTTATAGAAAATAAAGAATAATTGAATCTAGTAAATACTAGTCAATATGTCAGATAAAACTAGTAAACATAAACAAGACTATTTCACTATCGAAGAGAGTGAAATTAATGATATTTTGTTTACAAAAGAAAACCTAGATCATTTTTTGTTATTCCAAACAACAGTGTAAGTATATTTTTAAAATGTCTTGTTTTGCTAGGTTAATGATAAATCAAAATAAAAATATAATTTTGCTATATAACATTTCAGAGAAATAGTTGGTATAATAGGACAAACTGAAATAGTTAATACTTCCTTTATGAAATTTCAGTTAATTAATAAAGCTGGACTTATTGTTGAAATCCTAATGGACAGCATAGATGTTATTAAAAAGTTCAGAAGCTTAATTGTACCTGGAAACGTATGTTTTTGATAGATTTTCAAAGAACATTAATGAATTATAACAATCATGACAACACTTTAACAACATTTATTTATTTATAGACTATTCACATTGACGGTGGATTTATAAAAAAGAAAGATGTTGCAAAGTCAAATAGCAGTACTGATTTTGATCTCAAGCTAATGTCTAATACGCAAGTCAACTTGATTAAAGCTGTTCCTGAATTTATTCCAGTAATTAAAAAACATGGAAATTTTACTGTGACAACAATTGAAAACAGTGTAAAGCACCATGGAAAAATTGGTATGTATAAAAAGAAATTATGTAATGCAAATATACATTTATTTTTTATTTTTATTAGAAATAATAGCATATATGAAGCAAAAAATAGCAAGATCGTCAACACCATCTGGAGACATTAATCAAGGCTGTCTATCGGATTGCAAATTGTACAAATTAGAGATACGAATGCCAATTGTATGTGACATGAGTTTTCGGTAGGAAGTCATGTCAGGTTAACAGGTACTATGAAAAATATACATAATCAACCATATTTGAGGGTAATGGCAAAAGAAGATATTCGTCTGGAATCTGATGAAAAGAAAAGTCTTGTGGAATTATTAAAAGGTGTCAAATCCCCAAAACGGATTTTGCAAGACATCAATAACTACATTCCTACCAAAATTTTTCGTAATACAAAAATGAATTAATTATATTGATTTAATAGAAATTTTGTGTTCATAATTTATTTTTTAGTATTTTAGTGTTTATATTTTTTATTTATCTTTGACTTAAATATTGAGATAAAAAAAATTGCATGTGATGAGGCCAAAGAAAAGACATACTCTATTAACGTTGAGATTCTAATAATCAAAACAGAAAAAGAAGACGTATGAATAAATATATTTATTATTGAACAGAAGCATGAAGAAACATAAATAGTGATTGGAAAGAAGAATTTTTAGATGTTAGAATATGTTCTATTTACAAATATGTTATTGTTTCTAGTTTAATAATATATAATCTTACTATATTTCAAATGAAATACCAAAAAAGTGTTAAATAATTTGTAATTCTTTATTATTGTAATGGAACGAATAAATAAATAATTCAATTTTTTTATCAAAATACAAAGTAGTTAGTCTTTATTTTAAAAAAATATGAAGAATGAAAACATTAGTCTGCATGAATAGTTTTGGTACGGAACCCTTTCAAGATTTCTAATAAAGGCACTCTCTCTCTTTCAATCACTTTTACATGATTCTTAAAATCAATACAGAGAACAGGTGGTCCACGTTTGTACTGTTCTACAGTTCCAATCAGTTTTACTGACATCCCTTTCTGCAAATTGAATTCTTTACAATTATAGTTGTATTTTACTTCTAACTAGTATTCGCAGTCAGTTATTGAGCCCACAACTGCTGCCAAATCTCTGTTTTGGTAACGAGCTGGTTCAGTTTTGATAACTCCTTCAATCTCTGAAAAAAATAAGGTAATTAGCAGTTGTTTTACAACAATGAGAGGTATTAAAAATTAGAAAAATGAGGAAAGGTATAAATTATTAGCAAAAGATTTGGTTTTGATACTTACTAACTGTTTGTCCAATTTTCTCAAACGCTTCTATAATTGAAACTTCCTCAAAAGTGGTATTGTACAAATTTTGATCTAATACACCATAAATATCCAATGTTGAATTGTCTTTAATTACCAATTCAAAATTAACATTGCCACTGTTATAATTTTTGTGTTTGACCTTTGCGCATTTCACTGAGCTGACATGTATAGTACAATCTGGAAAAAAGGAAAAAAAAATCACATAATTTGTTAATTTTAAAAAGACTCAAGTAAACTTAATAATAACTTACAGATCCCAATTCCTTTACTTTGTTTATAATTGGTATGTGATGATTCCAGGCTATTACCTGTACTTCTCGCCCAGTACCATTTTGTAAAACAATCTTCTGGAACTTCGAGTCTTTTGAAGTGTGGAAATTGTTATTCATTTTAATCGCACATCCAACTATGTCACTGTAAAATAAAGCACACAAGAGAAAAAGAATATTTAAATTCGACTTCTTTTCTTTTAATCTTTCATTTATAAAAATTTTGTTGTTTATCGATATATATATATACTTACACAGTAGGATCTCCAATCTGTAAATTGTCAATCACGTCGTTAGATGTGAAATCTTCACTGGAAAGCATCGTTGTTTTTTTTTTCTTTTGCTTTGCAAAAATTCTTTTGCTTTGCAAAAATTCTTTTGCTTTGCAAAAATACAATACAAAAAATGTTAAAGAAAAAGATGTATAGGTTAAACAACAATCAAACGTCAAGCCGCAACTGCGGCCCTCGATATGTAGTTGACTCATTGGACAATCGATTCAATCGATATATCGAAGTACACGGAAGAAAAAATCTGGAGAAAAAAAAGTTAGGCCCTAAAACGACGGAATGAAGTGGAAAAAACATTTAAAAATCGATTTAAAAAAAAAAAATCATTTGAGCCAAAAAAACGTCGAACTGAACCACTACCATACCATTTATACACAAAATATTACAAAAGACAGCGTGTAAAAAAAAATAGAAATGCAGAACGACTTTATCGTTGTATATAGGGGTGTTGCGCCTGCGGCATACTTACCGTCAGGCCGCAACTGCGGCCCTCGATTGTATATGGCTTTTTGATTAGTATGTTGAACATTTGCATTAAATGTGGCGAAACAAAACAAATTATTGTAATATCGTATCAAATGTCTGAAATTTTTGTCAGTATACAATAAATCTTTCAGTTTTTTATCATATTGACTCATCGGTGATAAACTAATTTTGCCACCTTGACAACATTTATTTTTAAATTTTTCTTGTATCCAATAAATTGCATTACAATATTTACATTTATGTTGCATTCTACCAAAATCAGATACACTTATTAATCTACAAGATTTCTTTTTATGATGATTTTTTTTAATTTTGAATGTTTTTATTTTAGAAATTTTTCTAATTATGTTTCTATAATTATTTTGCTCGTCAATACTGCTCGTTTCAGAAATTTCCATATCATCAGTATATAATGTACTGGATTCACAATTTTCGTTATCATTCATATCAATAAGATTTTCATCATTGGAAAATATGGATTCATCTTTTAACTTATCATTATTTTTATCAGAAATATCAACATTCTGGCTTGATACATTTAATTCCAGTTTTTCAAATTTTTCACAACTATGCAAAATATCGTCAAGTTTAATTTTCTTGATATTTTCGTTTTTTGTTGTCTTATATTGCCTTTTTTTTTCTATTGTTGCTTCGAGTCAAATAAGCCGTGAAATTTGTATTATATAGATCTATGATATCATAATGTCCTGTATATAACAGCCCGTTTATTTCTAATTTTAATTGAAATAAACTCAGAGGATCTCCAAATGAAAGATCAGCATTAAATTTTGTTGACTGAACGATTATGTGTACGGGATGAAGTTGACTAAAAGCTTTTAATTCTACATTTGATCCTTCAATATCATTTAGCATTAATTCTAAATAATCTGTACTATTTTTTACATTTTTATAATATTCATTTCCCAAAATACAACATTCATAAATAGGCCAAAATTCAACTACATGTTGAATCACATTTCTACGAAAATAATAATAAAATTTTTCACTGTTGTACACAAAATATGATAGACATCGAAATAAACTATTATCATCAGACGTTATCATGATACTATGAATTTGAGGACTTTTTTGTATATCGTTACGACATTCTTTAATTTCATAATGTCCTGAATCAATAAGTCCGGACAATTGTAATTTCAATAATGAATAGTTTGAATAATTCTTAAAAATATGTTTGCTCAGCATTTTCAGATTCTACAATTACATTTACACGAAATAATTGTACGAAACCTTTTATTTCAACTTCTGTTCCGTATTCAGTATTTCGTGACATATGTTTATAATAATCATCTTTTACCAAAATATCGTTATAATAACGATTCCCTATAATAAAATTTTTATAATTATCCCAATTTTCTACAACGAAATTAACTATCATTACCCGTATATTTTCAAAACAATGCTGAGTATTATATAAGTAATATGAAAAACAACGAAACAAACAGTTACCATCTGGATTAATACCAATACTTTTTTCAAGTATATCGCTTTTCGCTGTATTCATTTTATATATATAATATTTAATTTTCACGTAGAGAAACTCAATATATCAGGAATAATATTCAAAGAAACTCTTACTTTGCCAAGTTCCAAACAATTTCTCGATTTTTCTGAAAGAATTCAAATAAATTTTTTAGATTATTATCTTAAATTTATTCTTAAAATTATCATAACGCATCCTAACCTATAAATTTATAAAAACCGTGTTACAATCGAAAATTGATATTTCATAGAATACTACAGTTTTTTATTATTCTTTATTCTTATTCAGTGAGGGGGTAACTGGAAAATGACGTAAAAAATTTATAAAAAATGAGTATTGAATAAACGTTGACGATTATGAAATCATGCAACGTTCAGACACCCATCAATACCCTATCGTAGATTTCGTTATACGTGTTTATTTATCAATTTTTAACACAAATAAGAGTCATCCGCACTTTCGCATGGTATAAAAAAGTGTGGATGACTACGATTATAAACTATAAATTATTCGCTCATAACGAAAACTACTAAGGTGGAATTTTGTTATGGTATCCTCTTAAGAAAGTTTACTAACTCTATACGATTTCCTTGTAAACTGCAACCCTTCCGATATACTCTTCGAATATTAACTTAATAAGGTAATGATACCGAACTTGGAACGATACCCAAATTGGGACTATATGGTGTTCTTGATATTATGTAAGCGCTTTGGAAGTCCCAAATAAGGTGTAATGTGGCACATTACAAGGCCTTTCCTGAGTGCTGCATTGTTTGCAACACCTCAGAAAGGCCATCCCCGTCCCTTGCCGCCCCGTAACCGGTTGTTCAAAATAAAACTAAACAAGCCCTATACCGAATAATTATTATTTTTCATGTCCGAACGACCACGCCTGAGATATGGGCGAAACAAACTTGCCCAACGCGATCCGACGGACGCTCAAAGAGCAGACAAAAAAAAGGAGCACACCACAGGAAAAAAGAGAGCGCACGCACACACTCACTCACAGACACTCCCGACCACGTGTTGCCGGCCGGTAAAAGAAAAACGCAAAACCTGACTGGGAAATGCAACGGAGATGCATGTTGATGACACATGCAGATCCGTTACACTCCCAGTCACCGACACGAACACTCACGAGGCACTGACACTCCTGGGGCGAGCAGAAAATCGCCGATGAAGTGGCAACCGGCAATCAGCTGTGTCGGGCTGCCGAACACCATCGGCGACATCCTGAGCGCCACACACACACGAAAATCAGCGACCACACACTAACACCCGGAAAAGCACCACAGAACCGACACGGGAGCGCCCCAGGAGGCGCTCCAACAACCGGCACGAGGACACGAGGCGTACGCACTAGGAACTGAGCAGCCATCTTGATGCGCCGATATAGACTGAGAGCGAGCGAGCGAGACAGACGATATAAAATAATAGAATAATATGCAAATGCGAAGATGAGGGCGCTACAAATGAAACGGCACATTATATACGTATCTCTGATAATAAAATAAATGTTAA